TTGCCAAGCAATTACACATGTTCCTGGCTCTCAACAGCCACTGCTGCGAGTTGGACAACACCTGAGGTTTTTGTTTGTTTGTTTGTTCCCCATCACCACCTTTATGGAACCACAAAGTATCAGGAAGATGGTAGTTATTTTCATCATAAGTCATCTAATGAAAGCCCACGAATTATCCAAAAATGCCAAAAAGGGGACAGAACAGGCAGGACGCAGTCCCCACACAACATACTAAAACTGCATTTTGTCTTAGCAGGTAGTGGTTAACAAGATTAGTATGTGCAAGATTCATTCCAAGTGTTATTTCATTGTTAAGTTCCAAAACTGCAGAATTCCATTTCAGCCTTGCACATCATTCCTAACACTGTTTACATCTCTGAAGTGTTGAACAACAACATCTCACCTCTACTGAGATGAAAAGATACCAAAAATCAGAGGTAATTCTGTAAAACTCAACCTTTACACACAAAAGCTGTGACAGAACAACACTATGCTTTCCAAGTCAGATATTAGGAAGGGCTAACATTAAAATCCCCATCTCATGTTTGAACCAAATGCTTGCATACATTACAACACTGCTCGTCAATTAAAAAAAAAAAAAAAGATCAAGTAATGGAATACAGTCTTTTGGTTCCAATAAAGAAGTTCACATAGAAGAGAAACCTTTCTACTGGCTAATCTGCTTAATCTGATCCAGTTATGCTGAACACGTGGATAGAGATAGCTAACATAGATACAACCAGATTATAGTAATTTTACACTTTTTCAGTTTCTACCATTTCTAAACTCTTTCAGAGTTTGGTTTCTTATGCAAAACACACTCTGAATGTCAACTGATTGATAGTCACCCAGAATACAGACCAGAAGCCTCTTCTTCTGTAACTGTATTAATTCCACCTGCAGAAAACATCAAACTACAGCCATCAGAAGCGTGGAACAGCTCTACAACACAGGCAACATAAATAATGACTGTAGACCATATGCAACATAAGCACAGTAGGAAAAAAGTGATGTACTGGTAACAGCTGACATAACCATTGGCTGCATAGCAGAGAACCAAATTGTACTTTTAACTTGAGAGGATACTGTTTAGTGATTACAGGCAGATACATTTAGCATATATGTACACATACACAGACTGAAAATATGAATGAGTTTCCATATGCCATATGAAACACAGGATTCTAGTCCAAGCTCACAACACCCTATTTTGCCTGCAGACATGTACTGCAGACCACAACACACAAACGAACAGTATGAGCTGTTACTTCAATATCACTATGCAATGCACAGAAGGAAAAATACATTACAGTACCAGCAGTTTTATTTACAAAAGGGTATGTAACTCAAGAACTTAAAGTAAACAAGTATTAAATTACAGCAACCTGTAAAAGAAAGTAGCAACTTAAAGGGTAGACCTTCTACAGTTACTACAGAGCTGGAGGAGAACTCTTGACTTCTCTAAAACTTGACAGCTCAAGTTTTACAAAACATCTCTGTGTCGTATATGGCATTATGCTGGTTCTTTAAATCTTTGCTAACAGTAATCCAGAAATAGCACGTATCTGACAGAAGCCAGGCATAGGACAGTATCAAGGTGGTATTTCCAAAATATCGCTAGACATCTAGGCACACTTTTAGACATCTAAACAACTTAATCTAACCCATAGCCATCAATTCACTAGCTACTTTTAGAGGCTGAACAGTTAAAGAAGGATAACAACTACTGTAAGACATCTTCCATTTTTTGTTATACATCCACCACATGTATTTAATTACAGAATTTTCAAAAGCTGTTTGTCTGCATTTTAATGAACTGCAATTTCTATTCAAACACACAAGTTATCTTGTAATAAGTGAGTCATTCACCACTTCCTGGCATAATAAGATAGAAATGAAACTGCTAAGTTGTATCAGCTGAAGTAAAATATGTACAAGTTTGTAGAGCATCCTGCTTAATAAAAAATTACTAAAGGCCCTATCCATTATGAAACACTTTTTAGCAGTTACACAAACAAGTAAGAACGAACATTTTAGCTTACCCCCTAAAAACTTAAATCAGTAATTATAACTTCATTTTATCTTTAAGTCATATTTGAAAAATAGGAATTAAAAGCTGCTAACTGAACAAAAGGAGGCGGTATTAATATCAGTCTTTCGGTTATACAGCATGCATCCATTAATTATTTGTTTCAGAAAGTTATCATAAAATATTTTTGAATTTCTGTGGTTAATATAAAATTATAAAATAATCCTTTTAGCAGGAGGCTGGACCAGACAACTTCTAAAAGTCCCATCCAACCAATATCCTCCGATATGAATGATGAAAATCTGAACCAAGTTTATTCTGTAATTCATCTGTGGCATGTAAATAAACTAACTTCTTAATTTTCTCAAATAATTTCTATACATATGATGTCTATTTATATTACACATGTATGTCTTTAAAAGAAGAAAACTCAATAGTGGGAAATACTGACTATAAAGCAACTTAGATTCTAAAAAGTTAAAACATTTTCATTGATTACTATCAGTCACAGGTAAGTGCAAAGAAGAAAGCCACAATTAAAGATACAGCTGTAAGAAAACTTGTAATATAAGCTATAATTTGGAAAAACAACAACAACAACAAAAACACACACAAAAGAAATCAGTAGAAACGAAGGACAATATGAAGGAATTATTCAGATTGATCATGAACATATAAACTCAAGCACTGGCTTAATGCTAGACATGACTGCATAAATACTTAAGTAATGCTAAAGAAAAGTGGTGTTTTTGTTCTGCTTTCAAAAAAAGCAGAAGGACATTCATTTCTTACATTCGTAAAGGAAGTACTTCCTATTCTATTGGTAATAGGAAACATAAGATACAGCAAGTGTTATTAATCATATGATGTCATCAAATTTGGAGAACCTGAATCCAGACTGCTTCTCAAAGTCAGCCTGAAACCCATGGGCAAGTAATACTTGGATGCTCACCATTGTTAGAAAATACTAACAACTTCAAAGTGACCATTATCTAAACAAAGTTTAAAGGGGAAACTGAAGAGAACAGACCAGTGAGAATGACAGCAAGACTTCCCTGCTTAAGCTGCTACAGATTTATATCTTTAAGATTGCTTTTAAGTGTGTTAGGGTTGCTCTTCCCCACCATTTCACTCCTCTAAAAAGCAATCAAAATATTTGGCAATATACAGCGATCAGTCACGCACTGATTCTTTTAGACTACTGACAACTGGCAAGTGCATATAAAGTCTGACACGTTCTGTAAGGTAAGATATATTAATTCTCCTTTGCATATAAGCAAAGAACCTTAACAGTTTTAAGCTGTAAAAACACAAACTAAGACAAAATTAATCTTGTGCTAAGAGCACGGAGTCGAAACAGTAAATATATAAAGCAGACCTTTTATTAGTCAAGCTAATCTCAGTAGACATAAAAAGCTATCACTTTAACAAGGCATAATAAGAACATGTGTTAAGTCTTTAGCTTGCAGACTTAGTACTAAAAGAGCAACCTGGACTCTTTCATTAAAGCTACTGCAGAACTGTTACTAGGAGTAACAGAAAGACAGGAAGTACCAATATATGTAGATTTAATTTTTTTTTTAAGTGAAGACATCTACATAGGTCTGAGCTAATTGTGAGCCAGTCAATTTTGATCAGTAATCAATACACAGCTGAACTTCAGTGTAGCACGCTACCAGAAATTTATAACACGCTACCTACTTTCCCCCCAGGATTTCTTTGTACTGATTTTTAGAGTTTGCTCTTATGTCAGTGTCAGAGGGGGGGAAAAAAAAAAAAAAAGAAAAAGAAAGAACTACTGGTCATATCTTTATGATGTGAGTTGGAAGTCTCTCCTTTTAAGATGGAAGAGTCACTGTAATTTGCTTAGACAGTTTAAATAACAAGAACAGTTAATTTGCTACAGTTTCTTAAAAGTATCTATGTCTTGATCTAAAATACGATTTTATGAAGCATTGTTGTGCTTAGCAAAAAAGATCCAGATTATCTGGTAGGTATTCCCCCTCAAAAAATCCCAAAAGTCAGACTGAGGTACTACGCAATCCCATACTGCTCTGAAAATATATTTTAAACCCACTTATCTTCCATAACACTGCTTAAGGCAGTCAATTTGGCCAACCAAGAAAAGAGACTGAAACACCCTAACAAGTGATAAAAAAAACATTGGGAGCTCCAAAAATTTTTTTTAAATCTGTATTAATATGGCTACTACAGATAAGCTTACTCACATTACACCAAGCAAAGCTATAGTTATACAAAGTAAGAGGAAACTACATTCCTCTCTCCAGCACAGGAAGGTTACTGTGTTCTCACGAGGAAAAAAAAACCCACCCAAACACACACAAAAAGTAAACAACACCATCTAGCCAACAATAGCAAAGCTAAGCAAAATCAAATCCCTAGGAGAATTCAGCTTAGTGACTAGACCATCACAAGAATGCACAATTCAAGGCAGCATGGTAAGGGTTTTGGGGTTTTTTTGTTGTTGTTTGTTTGGTTTTTTAAATATACCAACTCAAGCCATGCCAGAGTGTTCACCTAAGAGGCAGCAGTAACTTCAAACAATCACTTCCATGTTCTCAATTTTCTGAACTGCACAATCTTTCAAACAAAAATAGTCTCTCTTTTATTGTTAACTTTTAAAATAGTACACATAACTTGAAGTTTGAGTAATACAGTGGAGTAGGTCTGATTTGATGACATAGTAATTTTCAGATATAGCTCTGGTGAACAAAGACTGCCAGTCGCAAACCCATAACACCTCTACCTATAGATTTCATAACATTTGTTTGAATTCAACTCCTATTTCTGTAGCTCTTCCAAGAGATTATGAAGGGAATGCTTTGTCAGTTTTAGTAGGCAAGAACAAAAAAAAACAGAAAGATGCTCACGTATAGCTGTAACTTAAGTCACAGACACCAAACTCATTAACAAACTAGGGCAAGGTACTTCTGGTAGGTCATTTACTTACCTCCACTTGCTGATTCTTGCTCTTCCCCTTCAGGAAATGTAGCCTGGCTTGGTAAACTATTCCTAGAACGAGTGACTGACTCTAAGTGTGAAGCCCTTCCCAACAGAGATAGCTCATCTAGCACCTCTCCTTCTTTGGCTTCCAAATCCGATTTTGAAGTGGTTAACTGTTTTATGTTACCTGGTGTCATTAAACCATTTGGGTCATTTAAGCAAGCTACAGTACCACTGTCCAGGCTTAACACTCTGGCACGATTCTTGGCACTGTTTGTGCTAGAAGTCCGACGTGTAGATCGTTTTTTGCTAATTCCTTCAGAGCTTGCATGGGTTTTGTGAGCGTTTTCAGGGTCTGTTCCCCCACGTTCTTTAGAAACGTATTTGGTCTTTAGAGCACTGTACTTTCCCTCAGGAGACTGGCATGAATGGGAGGTGGTGCTGGAAGAGCTATCGCTGCTGAACTGGTGAGCTGACTGCATACTTGATGTCCTGCTCAAGTCACTTTGATCACTGGAGTCCTCATCGTGACAAAACACAGCACTGTGAGGTTTAGTACCAGATATACCTCGGAAGGAAACATATTCCCTGTGCCGACTTGAATCAAAACTACTAGCCCGCTTTTTTCCTGTCCTTCTCCGGCTGGACTTGTGGGTAGAGGCTGTTCGATGTATTAAACTAGAAGATTTTGGTCTAACATCTCCTTCTTTTTGTTTTCCACTCGTTTCTTTAGAAGCTCTTGAATCTACTAACACAGCTAGTTTCTCACTCTGCTCATCTTGTTGTTCAGCAGCCTTCCCAGGTGGCCTGTCAATTTGCGTAGTCAATTCATTGGCATGTGGGTTTTTATTGGCCTCTTCTGAAGCAGAGGCACCAAGACCCTTCTGACTGTGCATCTCATCAGATGCATTAGAACCCTTTACCTCTTGAACACCACTGTTAGTGCTCACTTCGACAGCAGTCCTTTCGCTACTAGTCCTTTTGTCAGTAGTAGAACTGCTGTCATCCTCTGAGTCAACACCACAGTCCTTTTTCTTACCATCCTTTTTCTCTTCTCTAGAAGACTCCTCCTCGTGCTCCGACAACACACTTTCTATATGCGTTGAGCTAGTATGTTCACTTTTATAGCTACTGATGGTACTATTAGTGTCACGATCAGTTCCACTGCAGTAGCTTTCTGTTGAACCACTGCTTCTAGTACTCAGGCTTCTCAGACTGTCCACACTTTTGTCTGCTTTCAAAGACTTACTCTTCCCACTCTTAGCCAATGGTTGAGGGCTGCTACTTTTCAGAATGTCATCTAATTGAAAAACTCCTGAAATGCAAGAGTTCTCAGCCAAGGACTCTCTGGATCCAGAAGGGGGTTTGGAAGCTTCTAACTCACTGACAGGATCTAGTCCTCGTCTTTGTTGATAGAGAGGGAAGTCATTTAGTGAAGCATCTGGAAAAGCGACAGCAGAGCTAGAAGTCCTTGGTACACCTCGTGGTCTATGATCCTTCCTATAGGAGTGAGAATGCAGGGTTACAAGCGAAGCTACTTCTGTGTCACATGCACTGGTTTTAGACTGGTCCACAAGCTGGTTGTTCGAGAGGCAAACTTTGTCACTGTTGTCTCTTGGCAAATCCTGTCCAGAGGATAAGGAAGGTTGGATGGAGACAAACGAGTCATTCGACACCAGACGAAAAAGCTTCCGATCGGCTGCCAAATCTGTTTAAGTACATATTTAAAAATATTGATGTAGAAAGCTCATGTAAGTTATATACTCTGCTTTACAACTGCTTGTTTATATCAGATAAAGCAAACAAACTGAAAAACCCATTTGCAAGTACTGTGCATCATATAACTATTTAAAAGATTTCCTAGCATCTGGGCAAACCTGACAAACTTTTTTATTTAAAAAAAAAGAAGCCATCAACACCAGCTTAATCTCAGTAGCTAATAAAAGACAACACAATTCTGACAAGTCCCCAACCTCCTCTATTGCTCATGTGTCTCAGATTTAATGTTTTTATGTATCCCAAAGTTCTGTAATTATAAAAGTGTAGCCTGTCTTTGGTTTGATTTCCTACATGCAGGAAACTCTTTACTTCATATAAACTTTAAAATTATTAAATAACACAAAGTAAACCCCATTAACTTTGAAGTCACAAAAAACCCCAACAAAAATCACCTTTCCTACCAGATACCAAGTAAGCTCACAGTTAGCAAGGATGCAGGCATTGGCAGAGGTCTCTTGGTACTAACTGCTTACAAAGTTACTGAGTTTTACTATCTCCAAAACCAGTGCTGTTAAAGCAAATCATGAAAATTTGCTGTTAGCTCTTGCTCAGAACAATTGTTTCTGTTATCTATCACAAGCCATCTCCTGGTAAAACTGACCACCAACTGGTAGTATTGGAAGTCAGGCTACTTTCCTTGTTGGTACTGTCATTAAAAATAGAACATGTGGAGACAAGTTAAATTTCACCCTAAAAAATTTAGCAATTGTAGTATTTGCACTTGTGTAGCTTCACAAATAGTTCTGTTACTTGGCCTGAAATAGTAGAACCCTGCTGCCTGTTACAACAGCACAGCCACCTGTAATCCCCTATTTTAAACAGGCTTCCTGCACTGAATCACACAGTACAACCAAAAGGAACCCATCAATGTGATTAGATTGTCCAAAATGAACTACACTATTCCCAGAGTTAACTTCCTACTAATCACTTTAAAATAATCAGCAAAGAAAAGATTTCTCTACATTTTATCCTCTGGTTTAGTCTGAGCAGATTTTTCCTGGCAATGAAGCCAAATGAAAAATGAGATCTGAAACAAAACTGGACAACTGAAGAATAGAAGCTAACAGTTTCCTTACATGCTAGGGAAAAACAATTACAAAACTCCAACCACTTGCATATTAGAAGCGGTCTGTAGCTCCAGAAACACAGAACTCTGTGCAGGATTATTTACAGAAAAGCATGTCTGATTTAAAAAAAATATTCATTTGGCTGTACTAGAAAGCAAAGAAAATTAGTCTACAATGAAGCCCATGAATCCCAGGCCACTTTCAGTATGAGAGAGATTGTCTAGAGACATTTAAGCTATCTACCTCTCAGCAGTAAGGAGACAGTAAATATTTATTACCTGCTGGAAGATGCCAAAACAAGAAACATGCAACCAAAGAATAGTTGAAAGCATTCAAGCTATGTATCCCAGAAACTTAAGAGTAATTAAGAATGGAAACAGAGAGCTTCAAGATACCCTTTCTTACAGTCTATTAACAAATTGCATGAATTTATTTAGCATGTTAAGCAAAAGGTCTTCGGTAACAAAATACCATGTTTAATATGCAGAAGCAGCAATTTTACCTTGTTCTTCACTCCCTTCTTTACATAGGCTAGAACTCTGGCCAAGACTTAAACTGATATCATCAGAGGTCTTGGCAGTGTCAGTATCTCCTGTGAATTTAAGAAAGAAGAATACTAGTGCTCAAAGTATTCAACACATACATCTACATACACTGCAGATTTCTCACCTGTCATGGAAGACTGCTGCTTTTATTTCTTCATTTGAAGTAACAATAATTACAAGTAACACAAGACTCCTCTTATCTTTTGGAGATAAGTACTGTCTACTCTTTTACTTTGAATGTAAGAGAGTTTTAATTCAACTACAGAGATCTTCCATGAAGAACTGGAAAAGTATCTTACACAGAACCCAATGGAAATAAAGATTTTCTTTTTTTTTTCTTAGATGTATCTATTTAAACATTCCTTTTTACATAGTTGCCAATAAAAATGAGGGGTAGATTGTAACAAAATACTTGTAAAGTAGGTAAGGAAGAATCAGGAAGGTGACAAAAATTCACATTGCCTTTTTGTTTGTCTTCTTATTGTCCTACTAAATTTACAAGGTAGCAACTTTGCATATTACAAATAATTTCTTTTCATCTTGGAGGTCACAAGGGCTGTCTTGGACAATACTTTTGCTAGATGCCAAGCAACTATAAATAACAAATTACCGAAATACAACAACAGAAGGGCAAGTGGTTGCACAGAACTCAAAATAGTAGGAAAAGTCCTCAAACCAACTCAAACCAAGCCCTTGGCTCATGCTCTTACAAGCAAAAGAAAAACCTGTTAGGTGGCAAACAGAGCAGATTCAAGGATATTCTCTCCTCATGTCTAAGGCACATAATTTATAACTCCAAGGAAGATTTCTTCCGATTAGTAAGTGCTGTACTTAGCTCACAAAAAAGTTTTGAAGATGAACAAGGTAGACAGTATTTGGAAACAACATAGTAAATAATATTGATTTCAAATGCTACTGCAAGTTAATTTTAAGTAGCCGCCAAAATTCTCACCTTTGATGGTTGCTGCTGTTCCCAGACGAGATAATCCAGATCCAACCTAGAAACAAGGAATGACATAAAAAGCTGTAAACTTTCAGGAATTACCTAACTGTTGTTTCCTATTACTGCAATGTATGCATTTGCCTATAGATGTAGAAGAGATTTTCAAAGGCACAAAACCATCCAAGAACACAGTGCTATAAAATCCTTTCTGACTCAGAATGTTTCCACTGCAAACAGAGATGACAAGGCACCTAATTACTCGCCCATCACTGCATTATTCTGTTTTATAGCCACTGTCCTTGGAGATTTTACTATGTTGATTATAAAAACAGTTTCTAATCTAAGTATTTTCAAGGAAAAATCTTAATGTGGAAACTACCTACTTGTGTGGCGGTACACTAACAACTGCTGTTCTGAAGCTGAATGTTTAATGCAGTGATCATGGTTGCCTAACATGGTGTTTTCTTTAAGCATTTTAATAGAAAACTTAATCTGTTCAACATAGTGAACACCAAGCTAAATCCACAAACTGCTCCCACTGGAAAAGATAAATATTTTACCATGGTTAGTTTTCAGGTCTGTCAGAGTTGATCCAATGACCAGATAAGCACAAATACCAAAGTGTTGGTATATGGAAAGTGTCAGCAGCATGAACGGGGAATATGGCAGGATGATCCAGCTGAATGAACTTACATCAATTCAACCTAATCATTTTACTGTATCTTATTCCTCCTTCTCATTCCTAGAAAGGCAATTTTTCTTTTGAAGACAGTTTCTGAGCACACAGATTACAGTTACCTCAAAGCAAGTAAACTGGTTAGTGGAAGTGCAGTATTCCTTGATCTATTCTTGGATATTAGTTACAATCACATTTCAAATTTATAGTATGCACCAGTACAGGTTAGGCATTGACCTGGTGGAAAGCAGCTCCATGGAGAAGGACCTTGGAGTCCTGGTAGACAATAAGTTATCCATGGGACAGCAATGTGCCCTGGTGGCCAAGAGGGCCAATGGTATCCTAGGGCGCATTAAGAACAGTGAGACCAGCAGGTCGAGAGAGGTTATCCTCCCGCCTTCCTCCACGCTGGTAAGGCCTCATCTGGAGTATTGTGTCCAGTTCTGGGCTCCTCAGTTCAAGAGACACAGGGAACTTTTGGGGAGAGTCCAACAGAGGGCTATGAGGATGATTAAGAGACTGGAACATCTCTTGTATGATGAAAGGCTGAGAGACCTGGGGCTGTTTAGTCTGGAGAAGAGAACCTCAAAGCAAGTAAACTGGTTAGTGGAAGTGCAGTATTCCTTGATCTATTCTTGGATATTAGTTACAATCACATTTCAAATTTATAGTATGCACCAGTACAGGTTAGGCATTGACCTGGTGGAAAGCAGCTCCATGGAGAAGGACCTTGGAGTCCTGGTAGACAATAAGTTATCCATGGGACAGCAATGTGCCCTGGTGGCCAAGAGGGCCAATGGTATCCTAGGGCGCATTAAGAACAGTGAGACCAGCAGGTCGAGAGAGGTTATCCTCCCGCCTTCCTCCACGCTGGTAAGGCCTCATCTGGAGTATTGTGTCCAGTTCTGGGCTCCTCAGTTCAAGAGACACAGGGAACTTTTGGGGAGAGTCCAACAGAGGGCTATGAGGATGATTAAGAGACTGGAACATCTCTTGTATGATGAAAGGCTGAGAGACCTGGGGCTGTTTAGTCTGGAGAAGAGAAGGCTGAGAGGGGACCTTATAAATGTCTGTAAGTATGCAAAGGGGGGCTGTCAGGAGGATGGAGCCAGTTTCTTTTCAGCAGTGCCCAGTAATAAAACGAGGGGCAGTGGGCACAAACTGCAGCACAGGAAGTTCCACCTCAACATGAGGAAAAACTTCTTTACTGTGAGGGTGACAGAGCACTGGAACGGGCTGCCCAGAGAGGTTCGAGAGTCTCCTTCTCTGGAGACCTTCAAAACCTGACTGGACACATTCCTGTGCAACCTGCCCAAGGTGATCCTGCCTTGGCAGAGGGGTTGGACCAGATGATCTTCAGAGGTCCCTTTCAACCACTACCATTCTGTGATTCTGTATCTGCTTTTCAGCCATGTTCAATGGCCAACCAGCAGGCATGTAATCTCCTCATACGAAAACTAGCTAGCCATTTAGGTTTGCAGTCTGCCTTTCTACATACGTCCTGTAATCAGTAGCAGACTATTTTGCAGACGTGCTAAAAGAGAACTTATCCTTTCCTTCTAATACCACCTCTCCAAATAGCACACAAAGATGTGTGTGTCAAATAATTAAACCACTCAGAAATAAGATAGGATAAGAGCACTCAAAGGCAAAATTTGAACCCAACTGATGGCAACAACTCTACTGTATACTTATTGGTATGGTTTTCAAAAATCCCTAGTTCAAATTACTCTGAGGAAAAAGAGCATAATTCTACTAATTCTTCTCTGTAAGCACAGTAAATTTAAAGGTAATCTGAAGATGTGTGTAGATTTTATTCAGCCATACTGAAGAACATCGACTTTGCTAATGCAAAAAAGCACCCCGAGCTTGTTTAATGGATTTTCTTCACTATACTGTCATGCCCACTTTTCGTTAGTTATTTTGCCATGTTTCAATTTTTTTTTCCCCTTCAGTAACATGCCTTGCTGAATGCTGTAGCTAAATGCAAATGCATCAGCACGGGAAAGCTATTTCGACTGAACAGCACTCAGATGCTTACTGTTCACATACCCTTTTGATACTGTAAATTCAGTCACAGGGGACTAGTGAGCACTAATTTTATCAGCATAAACAGATTTTAAACACTATACTTCCTTTCACAGTAGCTTTAACTATGTTATAGTGTCAGCATTAAAGTACACAGGAGAGAACACATTGCTTCTTCACATGCTTTAACATTAAAACTGTTTATGAGTATGTTTGGAATAGGTTTTTTCCCCCCAACAACCAGTTGAAGAAACATGATCCCCAGCCTAGTTCTGTCTTCCTACATGGATCATCACTTCATGTTCCTTTGAACACTACCAAATACCTGCTCTCTTCAAAGGAGAAAATCTCTTAGGGCATCTATGCTGCATAATGGAGCATTATTCAGATAAAACAACAACGTTAGCATACCACTGCACTAGATTATGTACAGCTTGCTCAGAGAACTAATTAGAAGGACTTGATATTGTAATACCACACCAAGGATTTCCACTTCATTCAAGAACAGCTTCTGTACCTTCCATAAAATGCTGCATTACTCAGTGTCAACATAACCTTACAGTCTGGCTAGTCAATCTACTTGTCCTCACGAAGAGTTGATAAAAGAAAGATGCCACGACTGGCTAAATGTCACAAGCCAAATAGAAGGAACCACACATGCAGTGCTACTGAAGTTGAACGCATAAATCTAGCGGACATAAGGAAACAGAACAACTTCCCCAGTGAAATTACAAGACAACTAGAGCATAATGAAGTTGCATTAAAATCTAATAAAGACAAGTTATTCAGCGCTTCCATCTGATGCACAGCAGCCCCTATTTACTGCTTTCTTCCCACCCTTGTCAGAGTGTCAAAATAGTGAAGATTTTGCAGAGGTCATCCAAAACCAAACAGTCTTAGTTTTTCCATTTCTACCAGTTTAGCTTGCTTCATACTTGGGCAAATTAACATTTTTGACTGCAGAGTCTGAACTGTCAGGAATAATAACTTTCAGAAAGCCATTTAGCATTGCAGGAAATAATCACCAGAGGATACGTTCTAAGAAAACTTAACAAAAGCCTCCTCAAATTCAGCACAACTGATGTTTGCCAATTAAGCATTTAAATGGCAGATCAAGCAAAAGTAACAGAAAAACTAAGTTAGAACATAAGGATGAAGTTACAGCTTGAGTTATGTAATGGCTCACTCACAGCAAAAGGAAGAGGAAAGCCCACCACAGTGGGTCTTGGTACTTATCTGACCATGCTCTGAGCAGTTTTGATTTACTAAATCAGAAAGAAACTAACTGAGCAAAATGGAATACTTTCTGATGGAACAATAGGTTGCCTTAAAAAATCCAGACATTCCTAAAATAACACGAGATGAGCAAGAGCTATGCAACTAGGAGAGTACAATGCCATGCTAATAAAGCGGTTAAATACAGAAAGGGCAGTTGTTTATCCTAACACAATTTTTTTAAAGTGAAATAAGTTAAAAAAAAAAATCAGCAAAGATTACTCTACAGATTGCAAAGCCAGCAGTACTAAAGCAACAACTGCAGTAGCTTTAATTCTTACCTGGTTGTTTGGATCTACCCCAGCATAAGAATTGCGTGAACTACAGCCAACAGGGGGAGTTGCTTCTCGTATGAACTCTGACATCTCAATCCCTCCACCAGGATCACTGAGAGAAACAAAAAAAAAGGAAAAACAAAAAAGAACTAATATTAACCTACCAGTTAAATAGAAGTTTGTCTGTCTACGCTGAGTGCAGATTCAAAACAATTTTTCCCTTCTCAAGTATCAGGGGCTTCAATATATCCCAGTATCTCAGATGAATACTGCCCATTTGACATCGGAAGCTCAGCGCTAGAGCTGTCATATACATACCCCATATACTGTCACAGAAGCTGCTGCCTTGTAAAGTCATCAGTCAACAAAAACCATGAAGACTTAGGAGCTACAAGGCATTTTGAAATTCTGACATATGAAATTCTCTCTGTCTATACAAACACACATGTAACTTTTGGATTCCAACTATAATACCCAGAAATCAAATCAAAAGGAAAAGTACTAAACAGAACTCTTTCAAAGAGCACGGAAAGGACTCTGATTGAAGGCACTTGTCATTAGCCAGATCTTTTCCTCAAACTGGATCTAGGAGCAAAAGTAAGGATGGGTTAACCACAAAACAGCAAAAGTTATTGGAATGGCAGAGACATACAAGGACATGTTATCTCTCCCAGGAAGGCAAACCACTTCTTTCTACCACACAATAACTTCCCTTCAGATAATTTACAGGCCATACCAAGAAATATTTTGAAGTACTATATACAGTATTACATCCTAGCAATTTCACCCTTTCAGATTAGTAAGTGTTGGCTTAAGGGTATTTTCTAGATGAACATCACCAAAGTGTAATTCAACATAATTCATCTTGTTGAAGGCAGATACTTATGAAACAAAAGCAAGTTGCACCTGTCCATTAGGACAATCAGGCATGAAACAAGTTGGGAACTACAACTCCGGGATCTAGGCTAGCACTGTTCGTTAATTGCAAAGAGACCAAGGTTGAGGCATCCTTTTGTCTCTCCCAGTACAGTTTTCTTCAACCATCTCGATCCAGAAGACTTCCGAACAGAAGTAACTGCAGTGTAATTTGAACCGACACTCTCTGCTCCTTCCCAAAGATAAACAGCTGCCTTTAATTGTTAGCAGAACAATTATGGTCCAACTCCAGCAAATTTAAAAAAGAAGTGAAAAGCCACCATTTTGCTACAGCTTGGCAGTGAGACATAAGCATGCTCTTATTGATGGCTGTTTACAGAGCCCTCTCTGACCTGATATTATCAGCTATGCTAAGGCAGAACCAGCTAAGGAAAAATACACAGAATTCAGCTTCCGTAATTTCCACCAGCTTTAACCAAACAAAGTATTCCTTATGTAAGCATTTCAAGAACACATAAGGACAAAACATGAAGTTAAAGACTAAACTGAAAGTGTTTAAGTTCAGCACACATTATGTTAACTGAAGATATAAGAAAGAATGCCTTTCACACAAAGATGAAATTCCTTTCCCATTTGAATAATTCATTCAGAAACACTGCATATGATTAAAGTCCTATGAAGTAGAAAAATAAGTCAACGTGAATAAGCTCTCATGCATACAATTGGGTAGTTAGCCAGGGTGGGAGAAGGTGGCAATTTTGTCTAAAAGTGAACCAACAGATATCAGCATAAGCAACAATACAATCCAACACCACCACTCTACTCACAGCTGCTATATTCTGTGACAGCACACACAAACTAATGTATTAACAAAACCTAGTAACAAACAACAACAAATAAAGTCTGCAGGAACAAGCAGGAAGTACAGATTTCTAGGATTAATCTTTGTATGCCTAAGGATCTGGACCACAACAGCATATAGAAACCTTTAGGAGCCATTTTCGGCTAGTGTTGTGGCCATTCCTTTCTGCTATTAAGTTCTACAATCAGCTTCTTAACAATTTGCTTACTTCATACCTTAGAGCAAGTGCTACACTTTCCAGTTTGCAAGCAAAAAGACCTCACGTTACTATACAGATTGAGAAGACTGAATAAATGATGTCCAGCTACCTGCAACGGAGATTGCTGTGGAAGAGGCAGAGATCACACAAAACTAAAACTAGTATTTCTAGTAATTAGTAACCGTCCTATCTAAAATTACTATCTGCAGCTATGTTACATTAGAGAGACTAACCAAAAGTCTGAAGAGGCTGTAGATCTACATGAATTCAGAAGTTTAAAAGGTGACTTAGGCTGACTGACTAAAGAAAACCAATAATTGGACTAGAACTTCCAGAGAGAATTTGGAATGAGCAATTTTGATTTCAGGACAAAGTAAAGGAAGAGTTTTATTCTTTTCTTTTGAACAGCTTCTTCTGTCCTTAACTTCCAACTAAAATAGCAGGATAACTAGTCAGGAGGCTGCTCTCAAAACCACAGCATGTACTGCAAATGCTAGAACACGACAGTTTCAAGTAACAAGAAAAGTTTTCTTTAAAGCTGGAATCGCTAATTGTAGACTCAAAAAGGCAAAACATCTCCAAGCTCAAGAACAGATCTGTCAGCCACAAAAAACTGTAAGGAGAAAAAACAACAACAGTAGGGCAAGAGATTACTTTTTGTTATTATTTATTTCTCTTGCTTATACTTGTTTAAGTAGACTGTGCAGAACTCAAAGGTGCAACATCCTGCAGCTGTCAGTTAATTTGTAGGAGAAGCACACATGAAATTCATGTAACATCATGATTACAGCTCCCCCAGGCTGATGGAGATCAGGGACAGCAGTGTCACCAGGTTAATTATTTACAATACTTTGAACCATAGTAGTCACTGACACAAGAAAGAATTCATATTCATATCCCCAAAAGCAAGATGGACTTAGATGTTTTAAGGTATCTATGTGGGTCCACTGATACACAAAAAAGATTACACTTGCACTGTTCCTTCTACCTTTTATGTTTAATTAGGAGCCTGTATCCCCATTACCTGCTTTCACGAAACCTCACAGAAGCATTACTAACATCAACCCCATAAGTATGAAAGTAGCAACTGCACTATAAGCTACAGAAGACGACAACTCGCATTCCTATCTCTAAATTAAGACTAGCTTCTTCCAAAAATATTAACTAGAGTATTTCAGCTTTATAAAAAGAGGATGGAGAAAAAATAAACAATAATAAGTTGTTCTTTGCTTAAGCATGCCAAAGTTTTATGAGAAGATTAAAAACGCTCAGTTTCATCCTATTCACAAACCACTGAGAACCAAAGATAAATGAGAAGTTCATGTAAACCTACAGATGACAGCACATAACTTCTGTCAGATACCCAAAAGCACCACTTTGCAGATAAACATCTTGAGGAAGAACAAACAGCAGTTCTTAGAAGCTAACCAGAATCCTGAACATAACTTTTGAACAGAAACCAGACTACTGCTTAATCCTTTAAAAATACTGATATTCATATGTAAGGTGGTCCCAGGGAGGGTGTATGTGTGTGGAGGTGAAAACTCTAGGACAGCTATATCCACTTCATGCTAGGGGAACAGAGTTTAAAACAAAAAAAAAAGAAAACCCTACATACACAGTTTCTTCCAATTCATCTTTTTTATTAGTGTTCTGATTTAACTTACTAAGAAGGTGACAACTTAATATTAAACATTCACTTTATAGCCCCTCTACTGGTTTGAATGTTATCCCAGAGTTCTTGTAAGCTTCCAGGCAAAGATTAGTATATACTGTACATCCCACTTACCAAAAAGTAACTCCGTAATTTCTGCATTGACCTTGTTCCCAGTTCTAGTTAAGAGACCTGAAAGTGGGAACAAGGATCATATAAAAGTTAATAAAACTTTAGTTGGCAAGCAGGACACACAGCATCAAACTAACCTCTACTGTTGAGCTTGCAAATGCTTATCATGTAGTAACTCGTCCCATGTCAAGTGCTCCTTAGATAAAACAGAACTACTGAAACATCCAGAAGTAATTCACAATACTAGTAGAAAGAAGTCCCTTGCCAAGTCTTGGCTACTGTTTTGGAAGCAAAAGCTACATGGCTTAAAACAAAAACACAAAATCAAAAAACCACCAAAACCCAAACATATAAGGATCACAGCTAAAACATGCATTAGCAAGGATGCACTGAAACAGAATAGACCACTATTTACTTTCATTAATTTTATTAATCAAAGTAAGTGTTAATATACATTTAGGCAAGCATTCTGCCAAAATAGTTCGGTACAGTTTTAGTAAGGTATATAGTGATCTAAATGGAGTCACAATTAAAATCAGTAGGTTCAGTTATCAAACACAACATGGAAGGAGTCAGATTATAAAAGATTGATACAAGAAGTTACTATATATCAACTTTAAAGGAATCCAAGACACTGTTTTTGCTAACAATACACTCCTTGAGCTGAGAGAAGATACAGAGAACTTAAGACCTATCTCATGAGAAACTACCCCATATGTGCAATGAAGTCTTCTTACCTCTAGGCTGAGCATCTTAAAAGAGCACCACTTTAACAATTCCTTTCTTTAAGCATCCTGATAAATAGACTTAAGAGGCTTCTTTCAACTACATTTCCTTACAGCACACGTCTCCATTTAAAAGTTTCAGGGTTTCTGGTTTTTTTTTTTTTCTTTTTCAGGGGAGGTGTTTTTGGGTTTTGTTTTGTTGTTTGTTTGTTCTTTAATACACACAACCTTTTAAGAGTCAGGACAGCATACTAATTGCCTCACTTTGAAAACTATTCATGGCTACCAGCACCAGAAACTCACAGACACGAGAAAGGTCGGTTGTCTTTAAAAGCTACCAATTCAAGGTTGATTTACTTCATGCAGTCTAACTCTTAAGATGGCCTCAATTATCTGGAGCCAGGCAAAGGCTTTGATAACAGAGCTCACAACACATCCACAGTCTGATCAGACTGGTTAGGCTGGCCTTGTTGATGAATCATCTTTTGCTCTTCTTTCTCCAAGTAGTCTGGTCAGAGGAGGAAAACCTCTGGGGTTTTTTTTATGCTGCTGACAGCAAAGAAGATCTGTGGAAAGGAATCGGCTCCTATTGACAGTAGTTCAGAATCATCACCTTCATTACTGAGCTGAGCAATTCCAGAATTTCCAAATTCACAGGACAGTGTTCTCCTGAAATAAGACTATGACTGGAGTCAAGCATTGTATCTGACTCCTGCTTTTGCAAAACTAAACAAATCAAAACCCGATCAGACATTCCTTTTATTGATAAAAGGCTTAGCATGTAGTATGTGGTCTTTGACAGCTAGATTTTAAAAATTAAGTCTACTGCTGAAAGAAAATTACTTGTACTGGTTATGTTCATTAAGTATTTAGTGACCTAATCAGCACCCATATTCCACGCTACTCTTTCAGTGCTTCCAGCATTTTCAATATTGTTCTGAAACCCCTTTGGGGAACGAACCAGGAAATTAACGCAAATCCATTATTTGAAAACCTAATACATAAATAAGTCTGCTTTTAAAGACTAAATAGTCTTTCAGAACTACAGAAATCTGCATCTACATTCCTCAGTGTTTATTCAAAACACCATTCCAGTTACACATCTTATGAGGACAGGACTGTTTATTATTTGAAACAGTAGACAAACACCAGCAGACACCTTACCTGGGCCCATTGCTGTCTTTCCTCTTGGCTGAAACATTGCTTTGTTCTGTTTTTGCACCTCTGTCCATATGCTCACTGGCATTCCTCTCCACAATTTCTCCCTCATCCAGTGCCCTGTGCAAACGGTAATTCACCATCTTCAAAACGATAAAGAGAGCTGCTATCACCGGACAGTAGACAGCCACTATCATCATGGAAGAAGGAAGGGCCTTTCAAAAGAGAGTAATAAAGAGTTAATGAACACAAGGTCAAATGTCCATAAGAATACAAAAAGCTATTTAGAGTTTAACAGTTTATTTCATACAGAAAATACTGATCATACTGGAAATGAAAGTTTAAACACACCCTCTACAGTCTAACGTTGCATGGAGATTGTTAGAAGTCTAGCAAGATAGAAAAAGAGGAACAGTTGGACTACAAGATGCCAAAGCACCACAGCAACGTGCTAAGTAGACCTATCACTGGAGCTTGAGAACCGAATTCGACTCTTGTTCTGTTTTTCCAGGCTATCGGAATGCAAGACCTAGACTAGGAAACATAGAGCTACCACAGTATTTTTGTGTCACACCCAATATTTTTGATTAGTTGTTACGTATAGAAAAATAGATTTTAAGAAACTTGAAAACTAAACCAAGCACAGGGTATGACCTTATTTCAGCACTAGTACACAGCACGAAGTCCATTTTGGAAAAACTGATTCGAGTTTGACAGCGTGCTGGATGGAAGAAAACCAGCTCAACTACCCAATATAGATGTTTTGAGTTAGCCTGTCAGCTTCTAACAGCTACTCTTGCATGACAAGACACTGGTCAGTCACAAAAGCCAAACTTTTCCCTACTTGCATACAAAAAAGGCTGTTTACATTTGTGGCTCACACATTTAAGCAGTAGTCCACAATAACTTGCAAGACCACATGCTGCAAAGATGATTTGTGCTAGACCACTGCATGCTCACGGAAAGGCAGCCAATGCAGGTGTTCTGAAGCAAATTTTTCAGCTGTGTCAAAGGTGGCCAGAAGCCACATGAAAAATCCCAGTCCCGAACTCAACTTTTGAAATTGCACTCAGAGTTAAGACCTCTCATGCAACTTTTGCTGAGGCTTGTAAGGCTTTTACAGATGAATCATCTTAGCAACAGATATTGATTAAGTGCAGCCTAATAGCTATTTAAAAGAAATCTTCAGAGCACTAGTTAAACATCCAATTTCACTTCAAGGCTTCCACCCTTCTAATTCACCTTTTATTCATATTCATAATTTTGCCATTTCCCTAGGCAGTCACCAAACAAAATGAGATACCAACTCTTAGTCTTTGTCCACAAATAGACCACTTCCTTTACAACAGCAAGAAGAGTCTGTGTTGTCAAATATTTTGCTGCATCACCACCCTTTACCCCACTGATGGTGTGGTTCGATACAAAATTCTAACAGCCATAAATATATATGCACACAGATGTAGAACAATCAGAATTAAACAGCATTTGTTACCCAGCATGAACATTAATTTAGTAGATGAGAAGAATGAGTGAACTGTCTTTTTAGACCTCCTAGCCTAAGGAGAATTACAGCTTCTTTTGTACACCTAGTCTCCTTCCCTATACAGACCACTGCAAGACAAGAGTCTTTATGGTCATCAAAGCCCCATGCACATCTTGCAGAATCAGAAAGGAAACATGACTGGAGAATAAGAGGGCAAGTGCTCTCTATTCTGTACATGTAATTTTAGTCATTTAAAAGATACTTGATTACCTTAATATTTCTACATATTCAAGAACATATTAGTCCTAGAAGAACTGGCAGTGCTTGTCACACAATTTAAGCCATGACTTTAGCAAAAACACAGTTTGAAGAGATCTCCAAATACAATATTTAGAAATGTTTATTCTTTTATCCTCTTTATTAGTACAATATTTTGTATTGACTGTTTGCTTCAGAACAAAACCAATCCTTAATCAAAACAAATAATCAATATAACATTTATAAAGCCAAACAAGTATAAAATTGCGTCTGGAAGCAATCAGGAGGCAGGTTACTTATTAGGATTCCTTTCTTAAAGAGATCAAGTTTAACCTACCTTTTCCTCCAAAACAAGTTAAGTTAACACCTAATACAACATTTGAAGTACGACAGGCAAACTAAGCTGAGGTATGCTAACTTATATGTTGCGTGCTGAGCTGGACAAGACCACAAATGCATAGGGAGATTCACTTACCAAGCACCATCTCAGGAGATGGGAAAGAAGGGGGAAACAAAACTATTTAAAAACAGCATCAGTAAGCAATGAGGAGCCACAACAATGCTAACAGCATCCATACAACCCCTGAGGCAATGCTACAAGGGTTTCCTCAAGAAATGCAGTTCTTTCCCTTCCAAGAACTTCAGAGGCAGCTAGCTCCCCGCAGGCAAGGGCAAGCCCGTTAACTTTGGCGAAACTATGAGCTTCCTGTACCTGCTAAGCAGTCTGCTACTCCATCACACACACAACTTCAACTAGCCTCTTCTCTACAAGTACCTCGTGTTCAGAAGCCATTACCAGAAGGGTCAGCTTAACACTAGATGACAAATGCTAGAGTCAGAAAAGTATAGGCATGTCTTTTATAGACTATCTGGAGAGCTCTTCAATTTCTCCCCTCCACTCCATGAGCAGTGAGGTCACACAATGTATCCAGTTTATCTTGTGGAATGTAAAATCTACACATCCTGTTCTGCAGAGGAAAGCTTTGAGAAGAAGTAGGGAAAAAAGCAAAACCTCACGTAACTTGCAGCAAACCCAATAAAGAATTAAAGGGTGTTTTTGCCTCACATCCTGTTTCAACTGGATTGTAGAAAGCTAAAAATAAGACAAATTAACTCATTACTTTTCTCTCTTTGTATTCATTAGTAGTTACTCCTCTCTGGATAGAGCATATACTCTGGGAATAGGAGAAATTTTAGCATGTCTGGCATACTCTGCTGTCTGATTATACCTCACATTAAGTCTCATGCTGCAGTACAGCAGTGCTACCCATGGTACCAGCAACTCACCCACATTCCAGCCTCAAGAGGAAGAGTTACCGGAACCCAACCTAAACCATCAGTGCCTTCTCTATTTTTCTTTGTCAAACTTGGAAGTTGAATGCTTCTATTTGGTGTCTTCTCTGCACAAACCAAGGCAAGTTAAAGCAAGATTAGTATTTTAAACCATGCTTGACATTTTTACCTCATTTGAGGAGAGACAAGTCTCTCAACAGCATAACTGAGCATCCTATACAATACCATCTTCAAGACTAGAATAGAAATTTAAATCCTACAAATTTGCAGCTAGATCTCATTTCAGTTCTTTTCACGAGTACTAAAGCATTTTTATTGGTCAAACAGACTAAAAACCTCAGGTTAGAGCTTGTTAGCAGAGACCAGCTGGCTACAAGTCTGTAGCTGCAACAGCATTTAAGAGAACATCCCATTTTACTGCACATCTCTATTCACTTCCACTAGCACCAAAAGAAAACATACACTGAACAGCAGGCAGTCATAACTGAAGCTCTTACAGGAGTGAAGAAAGAGTGAGACATGATCATACAAAAACTGTCTGCTTTAATTACATCGTGTTGAAAACTTCAGCCATCTAATGGCTGAACAAACCCAATCATTCCATCAACTCCTAGCTGAAAGTATTTCCCTAAATCCTAAAGGGAAGTTAAGTAGTACTCTCAAAGATGGAGGGGGAGGAAAAAGACAGTGATTTTCTAACACCTTCCCCTCAGGAGTTACTTTCCAAATGTAAGCCTTTCAAGGCAACTTATGAAATTCCCA